CCCACTGAGGTCCCTGTGCCCTCCCCAGGCTCCATCCCCAAATATTCAAGAGTTTCCCCCCTGGATCTGGCAACCCTCCCCCCCCCCCCATCCCCTGCCAGTGGCCGGGGGCCCCAACAACTCTATCTGAAGATCAGATGCAATTCCAGGAGATCTCCAGGCCCCGCCTGGGGGCTGGCAACCCTAGAGAAGAAGGCTTCCAGGGGAGGAACTGCCAGGGGCAAGCCGCTCTGGGGCCTGCTGTTTGACCAAACACACATCCCTGCCTCACAAGCTGATTCCTGTGCTTTTAGCCATTCTCCTCAGAGATGATTTATGACGTCTCAAAGTCACGTTTCACAAACAAGGAACTGACAGGAGAGGCTTCAAAGCCTCTATCCAAACCGTTTTTACCGTTTTTACCCCAAATACTTCTGCCCTACTACATTTCAGCCTCACAACAACCCTGCAAGGAAGAAGAGGAGGAGGAGGAGGAGATTCGATTTATACCCCGCCCTTCGGCCCTACTACATTTCAGCCTCACAACAACCCTGCGAAGAAGGAGATGAAGAAGAAGAAGAAGAAGAGGAGGAGGAGGGGGAGGAGGAGGAGATTGGATTTATACCCCACCCTTCACGTGGAGTCTCAGAGTGGCTTACAAACTCCTTTCCCCCTCCCACAACAGACACCCTGTGAGGTAGGTGGGGCTGAGAAAGTTCTTTCGAGAACTGCCCTTTCAAGGACAGCTCTTGTCAGAACTATGGCTTGCCCAAGGTCATCCAGCGGCTGCAAGTGGAGGAGTGGGGAATCAAACCCGGTTCTCCCAGATTAGAGTCTGCACACTTAGCCACAACACCAAACTGGCGAACCCCAAAGGAAACAACTAGCCCAAGGTCACCCAGTAAGCATCGTGGCTAGGTAGGGATTCGAATCTGGGTCTTCCACATCCTAGCCCACCACTCCATCCACTAAAATTCACCGGTTTCCATGATCTCAAAGCATCGCCATGGCAAGATTACCAGATTAGGTTCAAGGTTTTGTTATTGACTTTCATGGCCCTAAACCGTCTGGGACCAGCGTATCTATGGGATCACGTCTCCTGCAGTGTTCCCTCTAAGCTGAGTTAGTGTGAGCCAGCTCACAGTTTTTTAGCCTCCAACTCACACATTTTTGCCTTGGCTCAGGAAGGATGGCTCCAGGGCAAACTAACTTATGCAGCGGCCAAATCGCTTGCTCACAACTTTCATGCCAGTAGCTCACAAATAGGGCTGCCAATTCCCCCCGGGGGGCGGATTTCCCCCCGCTTTGGAGGCCCGATTTCCGCCCCCGCGGAATCAGGCCCCGGGGGAAACCCCACCCCCGCATGCACGTCACAGGCAAGTGGTGCCATACAGCCCAACTCTATGTTTTAAACATAGAGTTTTCCCCTCAAATGGCTGTGGCCCCGCCCCCAGCGTGCCCGGCGTCATGACGTCACTTGCCTGTGACGTGCATGTGGCGCGCATGCGCTCTGGGAGCCACCTCAGAGTCCCCCGCCGGCGAGGTAAGTCGATTTGGCAACCCTACTCACAAAGTAGGATTTTTGCTTGCAAGACTCCACAGCTTAGAGGGAGCGTTGCTCTCCTGGTATACCCCCCAAAGAGCATTAGGCTCTGGGGAGAAAAACTTCCTGGTGGTCCCTGACCTGAAAAATGTCCAGCTGCCCTCAACCTTTTCGACCCTGGCCCTGACCGGGTGGAACTTTCTGCCGAATGACATCCGTGCCCTGCAGGGCCTGTAAGGCAGAGAGCCGGGAAAGCCTTCTACAGAGTCGTTTAACTTGAGCATTGTAGCATTGTGAGCTTTGGTTCCAGGAAAAATAATTTGCCCGGAGAAGAATTTCTCGAAACACACAGCTTTTGCCCGGGAGGCGTGTCCCTTTGATGCTTGCTGTATCTCTTTTCAGAAAGCAAAACAGCCTATGATACTGGCATTGACGACTGCTGCGTCTCATCAGAAAGCAAGATAGTCTACAGCACTGGCTCCTGTCTGCATATTCGTCTTTGTAGCTGTGGACTTTTCTACAAGAGATATATTGTTCTTTAGGTTTTTGTTATCCATGTACTATAATGAATAAGATACACTAGGGTCTTTATTGTATATTTAAGTATATGATTTAAACGAATATGTGAAGACACAGTGTCATATCAGAATTGTGTGTTTTGTTTTAACACGGTGTTTTTTCACGTTTACTCGACGGCTGAAGACGGGAACGGTTTCCATCTAGCCTGGCGCTCCCATCCCTTGCCTCTCCCCTCCACGAGGGAAGGTCACAGTTTGGTTTATTTACAGCATCATCTGAAATTGTTTTGTATTTATAGGAAATAATGATGTCATCTTGGGAATTTTTGTGGGAAAATGCGATGAAGATATCAACGTGTAATAACTTAAAAGAAAACTGTTATAAGATGATGTATAGATGGTATATGACACCAAAAAAGATTGCTAATATGAATAGTAATATGTCAAACAAATGTTGGAAGTGTAAAAAGGTAGGGGGCTCGTTTTATCATATGTGGTGGACTTGTGAGAAAGCAAAAATATTTTGGACTGAAATACATGCTGAAATGGGGAAAAAATGTGAAATGTAAATTTAAGAAAGAACCTGAAATTTTGCTTTTGGGACTTAAAATGGAAGAAGTCAATATGGCAAAAAGGACATTGATGTGGTATATGATCACAATGGCCAGAATGACATACGCTCAATGTTGGAAGCAAGACAAAGTGCCTGAAGTTGAGGATTGGATTAAGAAACTACTTTTTATGGTTGAAATGGACAAATTGACAAGGAAACTAAATAATTTGGAAGCAGAGGACTTTTTTACAGACTGGAAAGATCTTAAAGAATATCTGGAAAATAACTGGGATGTAAGGGACGGTTTATTTAGCTTTGACAATTATTGAAGTTAACAGATATTAAAAATAGACTAAGATGTATTACTTAAACAGAGAGGGATAAGTTACCGAGGAGGGTAGGATGTACTGGTATAAAAGTTTGTGATCTATATTTGATTATGTTTATTATATCCTAATAAAATGTTTTTAAAAAATGAAATTGTTTTGTATTTTATTGTTTTAAGTGCTTTAACTTGATCTGTAAATGTGTCTACTGGAACTGTTGTTCACTGCGCTGAGCCCTAGGCACCGGGAGTGGGGGGGGAGCAGTCTATTAGTTGAATTTATAAATAAACAAACAGGACTACTGTGTAAGTCTAGAGTTGGCACACATGCTTGCTGAAAATGACATCAAAGTTATCGCAGCCCACTCGGTCTTCTGAGAAGTTCTCCACGTGACCCCAGTTGCCACAGAGCAGGGCCAACTGAATGCCCAAAATAAACAGGCGGGTACCATCTAGAGACAGCTGGGAGATATCAGTGGGACACGTAACTGATATCACTTATCATTCACTTGATAAGTGATAACCCAACTTTCCTTGAACTGAACCCTTGAAGGCAGATCTTACAGGTACAATCCCCTGTCCGGGCAGTCTCCTCTGGTGCAAGGGAGCATTTCCCATGCCAGAAGAAGAACCTCCCGAGCCAGGGCAAGATGCCAAGCACTGGAAGAAAGTGCGCGTGGAATGGATCCACAGGTTCTTGTGTACATGAAAGCCAGAATGCTGCCAATGGCAGCACTGATGCCGGGGGGGAGGTATCACTGAATGCCAGCAGCCTCAGCTTGGTGAGGGAGGTGGGTAATAAGGGAGGTGGGAGGTGGGTCACAAGGGGCTTATTGGAAGGGCCCATTCATTTTTTTTATTTTACTTCATTTATACCCAGCCTTTCTCCCCAACAGGTGCCTCAAAGTGGCTTACATCGTTCTCCTCTTCTGTTTTTTGTCTGCACAACAGCCCTGTGAGGTAGGTTCGGCTGAGAGAGTGTGACTGGCCCAAAGTCACCCAGAAAGCTTCCTTGGCACGAGTGGGGATTCAAACCTGGCTGTCCCATATCCTAGTATGCGGTATCTGAAGAAGTGAGCAGTGACTCACGAAAGTTCCTCCCCTGCCACAGATTTTGTTAATCTTTAAGGTGCTGCAGGACTCTTGCTCTTTTCTAGTGCTACAGACAGACTAACACAGCTACCCATCTTGCTCTAACTTGAACCACTACACACCAGGACAATGCATCTTCCTGGACTGAATCAAGACCTAGGTTTCCTGTCTCATTACCAATGCTGGTTTCTCCACACCCCTCTGCATACCACACCTAATCCAATCACACCTGCTATTGTCGTTCTCTGGCTATTGTCGTTCCGCATCTGAAATCACTCCACTCCCCAAGACAGAAGGACAGAGGGACTCACATTCTAGCTGTATCTGAAGAAGTGAGCAGTGACTCCCGAAAGCTCCTACCCTGCCACAAAATTCTGTTAGTCTTCAAGGTGCTACTGGACTCTTGCTCTTTTTTACTACTACACACCACACAGACGGCACAGGAAGAAGAGGAGGGCAGGATGCAGGTGCATCGCAAAATGACAGGGAGAAAACGGAATGTCTTGTGAACAGAGAAACAGAGTGTGGTTTGGGGAATGGTGGACATTTCGGAGGAACAGAGAGGCCGATGAAAAACCTTCTATGTCAAAGGGAGAGTCGGAAAAGGACAAAAATTGCCAACTCCCTTCCCTCCACTTGAAGACCTAGGGAGCTCCCCGGGGAAACCAGACCGGAAGATGGTCGCTGCCAGTGCCCCCTTCCCCAGTTCCCACATTTAACAAGAAACAGCCCCGAGAACCTCTTCACCATCATGTCTCATCATGTCTTTGGGGAGGGGCCATGGCTGAGTGGTAGAGCATCTGCCTGGCAAGCAGAAGGTCACAAGTTCAATCCTCGGCATCTCCAGTTCAAGAATCGGGTAGGAGGTGATATGAAAGGCCTCCCACCTGAGGCCCTGGAGAGCCGCTGCCCGTCTGAGTAGACAATACTGACTTTGATGGACCGAGGGTCTGATTCGGTACAAGGCAGTTTCATGCGTGTTCATCTTACCTTGGAGAAGGGTACTGATTGGGAGACTGAAGGTTCTGCTCGATCCGTCTGTAGTTGTGGATCTGCGTAGGGACCGGGATGGGGACGGACTGTCCGTGCTTGCTGCCTGACGAAAACTGGCCAGGCCTGCTGTGAAAAGGGAACAAAACCCAGAGAATGGTTGGTCAATGTGTGAATCAGGATGTTGGACCAGACGGACCACTGATCTGAGTCACTAACAGGTGGAATTCACTGCTGCAGGAAGGGGTGGCAGCTACAGGCATAGACAGCTTCAAGAGGGAATTGGATAAACATATGGAGCAGAGGCCCATCAGTAGCTATTAGCTACAAGGTATAGCTGGAACACTCTATCTGGGGCAGTGATGCTCTGTATTCTTGGTGCTTGGGGGGGGCAACAGTAGGAGGGCTCCTGGAGTTCTGGCCCTGCTGATGAACCTCCTGATGGCACCTGGTTTTTTTGGCAACTGTGTGACACAGAGTGTTGGACTGGATGGGCCACTGGCCCGATCCAACATGGCTTCCCTTATGTTCTTAATATCCTTCAGGGCTGATGTTTTTAGCTACATAAGAACTACGTATGTCCTTGACTGACTATCCAAGACTTCCCCCTGGGTTGTGATGAATTTTTCCCAGTATCAAAATCAACCTTGTAAAATTCCCGGAACAACCTCTGCTCTCAATTGTAGGGTACTTTAAGGAGGGGGGGCGCAACAACGTTCTTACTGATTTAAGGCAGGCGCCCCGAATGCCTGAACTTAAAAACATTTATCGTGACTCAATACAGTTTTGTGGTTATTCACTCAAGACATTAGAACAGGCAGGCTTGGAAGAAGATCAGAGACGTTTCTGCCGGCTACGACGAAATCTCTCATTTCTCTCTCCCTTTCTTTGATGCTCCACCCGGAAACGTGGCCACTGACACCATCCCCAAGGGGGGGGGGAACAACGTTCTTACTGATTTAAGGCAGGCGCCCCAAATGCCTGAATTTAAAAACATTTATCGTTACTCAGTACAGTTTTGTGGTTAGTCACTCAAGACATTAGACATTAGACTAAGCTGAGTTAGTGTGAGCTAGCTCACAGGTTTTTTTAGCCTCCGGCTCACACATTTTTGTCTCAGCTCAGGAAGGAGGGCTCCAGAACACACTAATTTATGCAGTAGCCAAATCACCTGCTCACAGCGTTAATGCTGGTAGCTCACAAAGTAGAATTTTTGCTCACAGGACTCTACAGCTTAGAGGGAACATTGCACATGACCCTCACGATATCTTCTGGGGTGCTTTGAAAGGCAAAGCCACAAGATTCTCCAGAAAAGAGATGCGAGGTGCAGAAGGAATCAGCGACGGCAAGCCAAGCCAGAATCTGTGCCAGCGCTTGCTGTGGTTTACTGCTGGCCGGGGAAATCTTGTTCTCTCTCCCTCCCCCCGGGGCAAACCCAGGATATCCAAAAGTACAGTAAGTCCTGGAGGATTCACAAAGAGGACAAGTCAATCCACGTCACTCCCTAGCCCTATTCGCATGTTAAAGTGAACGCACATACTTCCTTGCATGTACGTGCATCTGTAAGGGGAAGCCGACGTGTGTTCACTTTACCAATTAAACTGGGGGCCTGTACCTGGTTTCAATCACACGTCCGGCTGTATGTCCATTGAACATAACATGAGAATCACTCAATGCACACACAAAAAAAACCTACAAAGAAAAATCAAGCATACAACGTACACAGAGGCATACATCTCTAAGAAAGAGCTAATGTGCTTCCGCTTTACAGATGAAACCGGAGACCAGCATATGGATAAATGTGTGGTTTCAATCACCTGTTCAGCTGTACAGGCATTGGTTGCAACATGAGAATTAAAGGTAAAGGTTCCCTTGCTCAAAAGCCAGTCGGATCCGACTCTAGGGTTGCGGTGCTCATCTCCGTTTCAAAGCCGAAGAGCCAGTGCTGTCCAAAGACATTTCTGTGGTCATGTGGCCAGCATGACTAAACACCAAGGCGCACGGAACACTGTTACCTTCCCACCGAAGTGGTACCTATTTATCTACTTGCAATTTCTTGCTTTCGAACTGCTAGGTTGGCAGGAGCTGGGACCAGAGATGGGAGCTCACTCCATCATGCAGCACACTCGGGTCTCAAACTGCTGAACTACTGACCTTCCACAGCCTGCAGTTCAGCGTCTTAACCACTTGAGCCACCGCAGCATGAGAATTACACGCACATAAAGACAAAACAAGTGTACACTGTACATCAGGGTCCCCAACACAGTGCCCGTGGGCGCCATGATGCCCGTCGACCCCTTTCCCCCACCCACCAAGTGTTTTCAGGAAGTGGGCGGGACCAGGTGGGGCTTTTCCCCAAGAAAGATTTGGATTGGCCATCGGAGATTTGACTGTTAAAAACATTGCTTTGCCGGCAGCTGGCACCACGGCACAAGAATCTACACTGTGTGACTGAAGGGAAGCTGCGACAGCCATTTTGTGGCTCGTTCTGCCTCCTGTGACAGCCATTTTGTGGCTGTGCCCGCCACGCTGGGTCAAAATTCCAAAGGCTGCACCCGGATTGTACATGCCGTTCACTGTAACTTGTGAACCTGGCTCCTCTCTTTACAGGGGGAGCAAGGGAGACGGATTGGTGCCCCCAATCCCACCAGCTTTCCTCTTACCCCGATGGGCTGGGAGAGCAGCTGTAAGGAGGCGAAGGAGACGGGGTCCTCCCCTGACTTTCCAAGCCCGCCGATGTCACCAGGGAACTCCTGCAGCAAAAGAAAACAGACGTCAGATATCTGATTTGAATGTGAGGCATGTCACTGTTTGACATGACGGTGCTGAGCCATGAGCTTCTAATACAACGGGAAGCCTAATATATCTTTGGGTGGACTTTCAGGGAGGGGCCGTGGCTCAGTGGTAGAGCATCTGCTTGGCATGCAGAAGGTCCCAGGTTCAAACCCCACATCTCCAGTTAAAAGGACCAGGGAAAAGGTGATATCAAAGGCCTCTGGCTGAGACCCTGGGGAGCAGCTGCCAGTCTGAGTAGACAATACTGACTCCAATGCACCAAGGATCTGATTCAGTATAAGGCAGCTTCAGGTGTTCATGTGACTTGCAAAGAATGATTTCACCTGTACTCTTCATAGGAGGACACTCATTTACCCAGAATTATCTAGGGGTTTGTGCCTTTGTTTCCCTTTTCTTACCATTCACCCAGATCTCCTGCCCCTGTCCAATGGTGGGATGCTTATCTAATTCCCTTTTGAAGCCCCTGTCCAATGGTGGAACATATTTATGGCAGAAGAGTACAACAAGACCATCCTTCTTGACAGACAACAGTCACAGCCCCACCCCCTAACTGAAGTAGGGTGGTCGCTCAGTCCCCTGCGACTCCAATTAAAGGATCAGGTAACAGGTGATGTGAAAGACCTCCACCTGAGATCCTAGGCAGCTGCTACCAGGCAGAGTAGACAACAGTGACCATAATGGTCAATAATGACCAAGAGTCTGGTCTGACTCAAGTATAGAGAGTAGCCTCACGCACTCAATCTATTCAGTTTGGATTAAGAAACTCAGCCCGTGAGATGTTTGCTGTACTTGAATCAGCCTCTTATCTTCCGGGGTCAGTGCGTGCAGAAAGATGTCAACGTTCATCAGGTTTGGCCAGAGACCTTCAGGAATTATCACTGATCTCCAAACGACAGAAATCAGATCAGCTCCCCTAAAGAAAATGGCTTTCTGGAGGGTAGACTCAATGGCATTATACCACCCCAATGAGGTCAGCCCCTCAACAAATACTACCCCCCCCAGTTTCCACCCCCAAATCTCCAGGAATTTCCCGGTCTGGAGTTGGAAACCCTAGTGGCCCAATTCCCCCCCCCACCACCACCAAATTGTCAGAAATTAAAGTGAAACTCTTCCTCACCCACTGCACATCAGGCTGTCCTGGATGGTTTTCCCTCCGGCGGCTTCCACTGCGATGTCACCTAGATTTCAAGGAAGTTCGGGAAAGGATTACATTGTGAGTCCCTCTGCCCCAAAACTAAAAGCACAGTGAAATTACTTTCTGAGGAGCCCTGGATTTCAAGATGTAAACATGTGCTTCATTCTCATCTGCCGGAAACGACGAGACTTGGCAATAGTTGGGAAAGGCTCAGCAATGGTTGGACCGTGCTCAGACCATGTTTGGTACACGGTAAGCATATACAGCCCTGCAGGGGTCGTTTCGTAGAAAAAGAGCTAGGGGAACTCATTAGCATAACTCATTAGCATATGCCACACCCCCTGACATCACCGGAAGTGTGTCATAAGGCCACACCCCCTGAATGCACTCGCCCGGTTCGGGAGAGGGGATCAAATTGTAATACAAGCCTCCTCAGAGACTTGATCACACCAATCGCAACTCTCTTTTGGGTCTTGATGCCTGCCAATCATTCCCCCTGAGTGGGGGAAGCCGCTTTGGACCAAAACTTACCCTCCCTCTTCTCCTGCCTCCTCCTGGCTGAATGAGGGCCGGAAGCGGGGTGGCTGGAAGCAGGGGGCGGGGCTTCGTCATGTGCCCCGCCCCCATACCTCACCCGGGGGAACTGCCATCCCCCGCGAGCCCCCCCGAAATGACCTTTGCAGCCCTGACCTGGATAGACCAGGCTAGCCCGATCTCATCAGATCTCAGAAGCTAAGCAGGGTCGGCTCTGGTTAGTACCTGGAGTTGGGGGTCGTTGTGCAGAGGCAGGCAAACGGCAACCACCTCTGCTCATCTCTTTCCTGACCTGGATGGCCCAGGCTAGCTCAGTAATGTCACTTCTCAGATGCTAGGCGGAGTCGAGCCTGTCTAATATTTGGATGGGGGACCTCTAAGAAATACCAGGGTCGCTGTGCAAAGGTAGGCAATGGTAAACCACCTCTGTTCATCTCTTTCCTGACCTGGATGGCCCAGGCTAGCTAGATCACATCACATTTTTAGATAGGGGTGTATAATCAGTATTTTTCGGGTTTGGGTAAATATTGGTATTTTCCATTTTCCCAAATCCCAATACTGACATGGTATTTGGATTCGGGATTTTTGGGAAATCCTGATTTTCCCAGCTCCATTATACCCTATGGGGCCATTATAGTCGATGGTCCCCGTAGGATATAATGGAGAATCAATCTGGGGTTATCCAGGGGTCTAAGGGGTCTGTTTTTTTGAAGTAGAGGTACCAAACTTTCAGCATAGCTGTTGGTACCTCCAAAAAACTCCCCAAGTTTCAAAAAGATTGGACCAGGGGGTCCAATTCTATGAGCCCCCAAAGGAGTTGTCCCCGTCCTTCATTGTTTCAATGGAAGGGGGGAAAGGCATTTAAAGGAAATATGGTCTCTTTAAATGCCTTTTGCAAGCTGTGAGTGAACTCTGTTTAAAGGGCTTGCAATCCTTTTACTGCCTTTTCAGCTGGGATCTTCTGGAATATGTGGCACCTGTTAATAGCTACTGCAAGCATTATAGGTGAGAAACATTTTGTTCTTTTCATTTCCTCGACTGCCATTCTGCTAGGGTTGCCAGGTCTCTCCCAGCAACCAGCTGCTGGTGGGGAAGGACTTACTAGGAGCAGAAGGGAGGCCCAGCCTATGTACAGTGACGTGTCTATGTCACTGCCCATGTGACCCGGAAGTGATGCCATCACTTCCGGGATGTCAGGGTGACACTCTGGTATTTGGGCAAAAACTCAATGGTAAATTTGGCTTCTATCACAGAGTTTTTGCTCAAAGACCAGAGTGTCACCCCCCGATGTCCCAGAAATGATGATGTCACCTCCAGGTCCTGAGGGTAATGATGCTGGATCTGCCTCTTTTTCTGGGCAAGTTCCCCCCAGCCGGCCAGCTGCTTGGCGGCACAGAGGTGAAAGCTGGGAGTGGAAGACCCCCACCTTAACCTGGCAACCCTACATTCCACCCTGAGTGTTTTGTTAAGAAAGTTATCTTGTTGTTCAAGTAAACTTGTGTGCTTTGATCGGGGCAGATTTCCCCCCCTCCCATTAAAACGTATCTCCTCCTTGGGGTCAAGTTCCTGAGGAGCTGTTAACCCCAGTGGTAGCTTTTACATAATTCTCCTCCCCTTCGTTTTTCCCTCACAACAACTCTGTGAGGTAGGTTAGGCTGAGAGAATGTGACTGGCCTAAGGTCACCCAGCGAGATTAGAAGCAGGTAGATCAGTACCTTGTTTGGGTATGCTTTAAGGCAGACTTGCACCACAATCCTAAACAGAACTGCACCTTTCTAGACCACTGTAGCCAGTGGGTTCAGAGGAGCACAACTCTGTTTAGGACTGGGCTGTTAGTCCCGGTAGGAAAGCTGGTGCAACTAAATACCCATGCGACTCCAGTTTTCCCAAATCACCCCCACTGTGATGTTAAGAAGCAGGGAGAAGAATTTTCTGAATGGTTCCGGGGACACCCTACCAATGCTTAAGAAAATGGCATGCAATTCCTTAGAAGAGGCATACCTTCACCTCTCTTACACAGGAGGAAATGCCTCTTCCATGAAGATTTCTGCTATGACACATAAGTGTACAACAATGGGAGGTACTCCCATACCTTCACCTCTATTACACAGAGGGTTGCCAGCTCCAGGTTGGGAAATACCTGGAGATTTGCGGGATGGGACCTGAGGAGAGTGGGGTTTGGGGAGGGGAGGGACTTCAATGGGGTATAATGCCATAGAGTTCATCTTCCAAAATGGCCATTTTCTCCAGGTGAACTGATCTCTGTCACTCAAAGATCAGTTGTAATCCTGGGAGATCTCCAGCCAACACCTGAAGACTGGCAACCCTAATTACACAGGAGGAAAAGCCTCTTCCAAGATGATTTCTGCTCTGACAGATGAGCCTCATCCCAAAACATAGAAAGCATTTTGTTCCCTTTAGAACAGTTTTATACATAGGGGAACAGAACTAATCAACTGACTAATCAATTTAAAAGCTATTGATTGCTCCACGAATTTTGTGTTAGCCTTGTTTTCTGCACTAAGCAATTCTGAATAATTAGAGGGGGGGAATTAGGCCCTCCATGTACATGCACACCAGTTTTCACAAGAAAAGCCTTTTACTGGGAGGGGTAGGCATCATCATTCTTACAACAGCCCTGTGAGGTAGGCCACTGTTACTCCCATTTAACACATGGGAGACATAAGCGGAGAGAGAGTGATTTGCCCAAAGCTATTCAAGCAAATTGTTGACTGAACTGGGATTTTGTATGTGAGAGAAAGAGGAGTAATAGGCTCTTCTGTAATTACATAAATGTGCACAGACATGCAGGACTAAAGTACTAATTTTCCTCTCTGCATCTACGGGGGAAAAGGTAGAATTACCCCTAAGGGCAGATCTTCAAAGGCCGCCAACAACACTTAGGTTTTGTTCCGCTTCAGAAAGGGCTTGGACTTCTAGGCAAATGGGTCCCTTTTAACCCCCTCCCTTTTGGAATGTTTCCATGTACAATACTTTGATTCATGCTGGATTTTCAACCCCAGAGATCTTGTTCAGGCATTTGAGACTGCAATAACCTTCTTTGGGAGTTCGGAGACCAGGACCAAGTCTCAGGGGCGTGCGCACCCTGCTATGGGTGAGCCCGGTGACGCCCCTCGCAGACACCCTTGCGAGTTGTTCAGTATTCAAAACAGGCTGTGTGCTTCACTTGCATGCTGAGAATAGGCCGGGCCTAGCTCACACAAGATGCCATGCGCAGGCTGCCATGCGAAAGACATTACAGGAAGTTCCAGCCTCCTAACTGCACCAGAATCCCCAAATTCCTCTTTACCAAATACGGCCTTATGCCAAAGATTTATTGCCCGTCTCCTAGTCGGAGCTTCGGCACCCAAACAACCCACAGTCCACCTAGTTGTAGGGTTGCCAGGTCTTACCTTTGTTTTGGCGGGGGAGTCCCGGCCAGAGTTCCCTCTAAGCTGAGTTCGTGTGAGCTAGCTCACAGTTTTTTAGCCTCCGGCTCACACATTTTTGTCTCAGCTCGCGGAGGATGGCTCCAGAGCAAACTAACTGATGCAGCAGCCAAATCACTTGCTCACAACTTTAAGGCCAGTAGCTCACAAAGTAGATTTTTTTGCTCACAAGAATCCACAGCTTAGAGGGAGCATTGGTCCCGGCCCCTCTTGGGGACATCTTAGGTGTGCGCGAAGCACATGAGCCGCAATGACATCATCCAGAAGTGATGTCATTGCGTCGGGCATGTTGGGGACGGGGCCACTTTCATTCGAGGGGAAAATAGAGTTTTCCCTCGAATGATAGAGCGTCCCCCCGCAACATGCCCGGTGCGATGACGTCACCTCCGGGTGGCGTCATCACGCCAGGCATGTCACCGCGATCCCGACACTTTGGGGGTGGGGTCCCCCTCCCGGTGGCCAGATCTGGGCTGGCGGGACCTGGGAACCCTACCCACTTGCCTGAATATCTTGCCTCCCCACCAATGTTCCCTCTAAGCTGTGGAGTCTTGTGAGCAGAAATGCTACTTTGTGAGCTGCTGGCATTAAAGTTGTGAGCGGGTGATGTGGCTACTGCATAAATCAGTTTGCTCTGGAGCCCTCCTTCCTGAGCGAAGGCAAAAATGTGTGAGCTGGTGGCTAAAAAACTGTGAGCTAGCTCACACTAACTCAGCTTAGAGGGAACACTGCTCCCCACCAAAACATCAGGCCTCCCCACTTTAGGAAACCCTGTGCTAAAGATTCCAGTCTGAGACAACTAGCTGGAGCAGACAAAAGTTATCAAAGAGTACACACAAAAAAGAGAGAAAGAAAAACGGGGCCTTTTTTTTTTGCCCCTTTTGGCTTCCCCGTGCCTTCAGTACGCACTTCTTGCCTCCCCCACACATGGACATATTTCCTGGTTTGGCCCCGCTCCTCCTCCTCTTCTTTCTCAAAGCACTTCTTGCCTTATTACACCTTGCAATAACCGTACGGTGGCCAACCTAAATAATTTATCCTTAAGCTGAAAGGCCATTCCCATGAAAGGGAGGAGACAGTGCTTGGTGGCGATGTCACAGGTGCCCAGCCAATCAGTACGCTGCACAATCACACCGGCTTCGGAGTGGCAGAACTGGATCAGGGAGGGACTGTGGCTCAGGGGTGGAGAATCTGCTCGGCATGCCAAAGTTCCCCGGTTCAGTCCCCAGCATTTCCAAAGAAAAGGACCAGGCAGTAGGTGATGCAAAAGACCTCTACCTGAGACCCTGGAGAGCTCCTCCCCCAGCTCAATGCTCAAGGGGAAAACCCCCCCAAATTCTACATGTGAACTTGGGCAGATCACGAGAGGGAGGACAGGAAGGGTTGCCTCAGTGCTTAGTTCTCGTGGCCCTTTTTACACGCCGAGGGAAATGCTGATTGCCACTTTGGGGTCAGGAAGCAATCCTGGAGGTTTTTTGTCATCTTCTGGGCGTGGAACAGCGGTCGCTGTGGGTGTGGAGGGGGAGGTATTGGTGAACTCCCTGCATTGTGCGGGGGGTTGGACTAGATGACCCTGGAGGTCCCTTCCAACTCTATGATTCTGTGTGAGAAAACACAGTGATGTTGAGTTTTGAGGAGCCCCAGTCTCCATCAGCATACTCTTGCTTGACTCAAATGCCGCTCAATCTCTGCTTTAAAGGGGGCGGAGATCACGAGAAACCACGGCTTACTAGAAAACTGGGCTGGCACCATGACGAAGTCCTCGATGTCGCAGGAGGAATTCTTGCTACTGCTGCCCGCCGACTCCTTCGACCCATGCAGGAAGCCGGGAGAATCCTGGGTAGGGGAGGCCAATACCTTCTCCTGCAGGTGATGCATCTCTGCCAGGGACTGTTGGAGGGAAGCGAGAGACAGACTGAAACACACACAGCCTCTGAAGCAACATGTTCATCATTCCACCAGCTCCACTAGATTAAGTCATATCAAACGCTCCACAAAACGAGACGCCGCCAGCACATCTAAGAAACAGCTGCCTCTTTCAGAGGGGCTTTATTTTTTAAAGGAAAGCTCCAAGAAAACTCCAAGGCAAAACAATGGTGTTTTTGTGTCTCCTAACCAGTGAGCTTCTGCCAACATGCCAACAGAACACCCATTGGAAGCGGAGAAAGGTCCTTTAGAAAAGTTATCGCGTGCAGCCGTTTGTTGTGATCAGGGCTTTTTTTGTAGAAAAAGCCCAGCAGAAACTCATTAGCATAATAGGCCATACCCAACAGCAGGAACTCATTAGCATATT